GAAGGGTGGGCGCGGGAGAAGGAGCGGGTCGCGTGGTGGGGCTCCGGCCGCCTCCACCAGGGGGCTCCCTGGGCCGCTTCTGCTGCTGCGCCGCCCTCGGCCCCCGCGCCGGGCGGGTGTGAGTCGCGTGGCGCCTTCGACCTGCGCCCTCCCTCCGCACCCCTCCTGTCGGGGACTCGCCGCGCCCCCTCTGCAGGGCGGGCTTCGGCCGGTCTCCGAGACCCCGCGGCCAGGTGCCCGGGTGACCCGGCCGGACAGCCCTCCTCCGGGAGTGACGCCCAGCGCGCGGTGCCTCCCTGCAGCCCGAGCTCCCAGGGGGACGGGGCCAGGGGGCCTTACTCCCCTTGACACACAGCCTCTGCCTGCAGGCTGCCCGGTGCAGAGTCCGTGTGCGCCAGACGAAAAGTCCTAGAACAACTGATGTTGCACAGCAGGCCTTTTAAAGGTCACCGCTTTCCCCCCAAATTCACAGACAGAGGCGCTTCCGGGTTTAGTTCACATTCATTCATTAGCTCGTGCCGCACGCGTGGTCCCTGCCTCGGCGGGACGGGACGGGACGTACCGAGCGGACGGGGGCCGTGAGCCAGCGCCGAGGTGCGGAGCCAGAGCCAGGCCATCAGGACGGAGGAAAGTGGGGTTGATGGGACGGCATTGGTTGGAGCCACGAGGAGGCTGCAGCCATGCCGGGGTGGCACGAATTCCCCGGGCGCCGGGCGCCAACCGTTTGCCTTGGTTCGAGGTGGAAGGACCACGTGTGTGGGGAACATGTTTCGCAACCTGTGAAGTTGTAGTGTGGTTGTTGTTGTCGTTTTAGGGTAAAAGCCAGAGCAAGGAGCCAGAGCAAGCGCTTCCTCCCCTAGGCCCCGTGGCAGTGGATGCCAAAGGCTGTGTCACCATAGCCATCCACGCCAAGCCGGGCGCTAAGCACAATGCCGTGACAGGTACCGCTGAGCGCCGGGGTGGGCGGCCCTGGGAGCCGGGCTCCCTCCTCCCTCCTCCCTCCTCCCTCTGCCTTGGTTTTTGGGAGTTTATCCTGTACAGGCAGGTGTGTTGTCCATATCTACAGTTAGAGGGCTTTTCATTTCCAGATGCTAAATTCTAATGTACAGTTGTAAAGCCAGTGTGTAAAAGATGAAAAAGAAACACCGTGGTATACTTTCCTTTTTTTCAAATATATTTTATTGATTTCAGAGAGGAAGGGAGAGGGGGAGAGAGGTAGAAACATTAATGATGAGAGAGAATCATGGATCGGCTGCCTCCTGCACGCCCCCCACACTGGGGATCAACCCCGCAACCCGTGGGCATGTGCCCTTGACCAGAATCTATCCCGGGACCCTTCAGTCCGCAGGCTGACGCTCTGTCTGTTGAGCCAAACCAGTTAGGGCAGCGGTTCTCAGCCTGTGGGTCGCGATCCCTTTGGGGGTCGAACGACCCTTTCACAGGGGTCGGAAAACACATATATAATTACATATTGTTTTTGTGATTAATCACTATGCTTTAATTATGTTCAATTTGCAACCATGAAAATACATCCTGCATATCAGATATTTACATGACGATTCATAACAGTAGCAAAATGACAGTTATGAAGTAGCAACGAAAATAATTTTATGGTTGGGGGTCACCACAACATGAGGAACTGTATTAAAGGGTCACGGCATGAGGAAGGTTGAGAAACAGTTAGGGCATATCTTTTTTTTAAATTAGGATGTTTTAGAAAGGACACATAAACATGTGTCGCTTATTAGTAGTTTGTCCTGTCCCAGAACTAGAGACATTGGCCAGAGAAACAAAGAAGACATTTGGTGGAGTTTAAGGATCTTTGGTCCAAGGAAGCAGCGTTCATCAACTCCCCTGTTCACTTGTTTTAAATCAGAATGATAGAAAACATTTCTGGGTCCAGGTCTTCCATCTGTTTGATGGGATAATTGGACTAAGTTAAAAGCTTTCAAGTTATTGCCTGGAGCCCAAAAGGTGGGCAAGGGGGAGGCCAACAGCCTGGGTTTCTAAGAAGCTGTGTTTATGTCTGTTTTAAATGGGATTTCATGGGAAATTGCTGTGTGTGTGTGTCTGTGTGTGTGTGTGTGTGTGTGTGTGTGTGTGTGTATGTATGGGGGGGCGGCAGGGAATTCTGAGTGGGGGAAAAAGTTTAAGAACCATTGATCTGAATTATCTTGAAGGTCTTTTTCACCTCTACAGCTCTGTATTCCAATTTTAAAAAATATTGTGAAAATTAGACCTCAGAATTGGGGTGCTAGGCCTGGTTGTGTGATTGACTGTGCCAGCTTGGCCATACCCTCCTTGGCCAGCGTTTTCTAAGTATTGCTGTGGGCACTGTCTGCTGTTGGAATACCAGGTTTTGTTAGGTCTAAGATGCCATCAACTGCAAGGTACACAAGTATTTTATGTACCAGTAAGAAAGGCAAAATCTATATCAAACACTTTATTTAAAATGTGAGAAAATGTACACCTTAGAATCTGTAACAGGAGAGGACAGTTGTTTTACCTCATGCTTTTTATATATATATATATTTCTTTATTGATTTCAGAGAGGAAGGGAGAGGGAGAGAAAGATTGAAACATCAATGATGAGAGAGAATCATTGATCGGCTGCCTCCTGCACGCCCCCTACTGGGGATCCAGCCCTCAACCTGGGCATGTGCCCTTGACCAGAATTGAACCTGGGACCCTTCAGTCCGCAGGCTGACACTCTATCCACTGAGCCAAACCGGCGCAGTGGTCGGCAAACCCCGGCGCGGCAAACCGGCTCTCGAGCCACATGCGGCTCTTTGGCCCCTTGAGTGTGGCTCTTCCACAAAATACCGACTTTTGCGCATGGGCCACGAAGTTTCAATCGCATTGTACGTGCGGGCCCGCACATGGTATTTTGTGGAAGAGCCACACGCAAGGGGCCAAAGAGCCGCACGTGGCTCGCAAGCCGCAGTTTGCCAACCACGGGGCTAGGGCTTTTCCTCATTCTTGTGGATCCTGTGGCCAGGGTTCACATAGGGGAAGGTGTGAGTGTGTGGAAATGCCCGAGTAACCCAGGTGGTCGGACCAGCTCAAGCTCACTTACAAACTGCTTTGAGCAAATACTTCTCTCTCTCAGAAAGAACAGGCAGGCTGCCCTTTGTAAATGCAGTAGTGATGGGGAGTCTGTTCCGAAGCAGTGTTCCTTGTCCCTGGATTTCACAGCATGGGTTTAAGTTTATTTTTGATTCACAACATCACTCATCTCGATTCCTATTTCATTTGTAAAATGGAGATAATATTGGTATCAGTACCTTCATAAAGCTGTTATGAGGATTACACAAGTTCATATTTGTAAAGTCCTTAAAACATGTTCGTGTGCCCTTAACATTAGTGTATGTGTTATGTAAATATTAATTAAACATTACGGTTTGAAAACATTAAAGAGCATTTCACATACGAGACAGATGTAGCCCCGTGCTCTCGTTGTCCTGATGAGGAAACTGAACAACCTGTCCAATCCAGGGAGCTGCCCTGTTCATCCTTCTTCAGTGACGTTTGCTGGGCCTCCACCCCAGCTCCTGACTCCCTCCGTGAGCACTTCCTGTCAGATAAGCGTGTTTTCCAGTTGCCTAAATCCAGGATACTGCCCAGGCTTTTTTGTTTTTCTTTCTTAATAAATCCTTATTGTTGGAAGTATTACATATGTCCCCCTTGCTCCCCCTCATTGACCCCCTCAAGCCTGCTCCCACCCCCCGCCCCAGGCCCTCACCGCCCCATGCTGCCCAGGATTCTTTAGGCCCATCCTGGTCAGCGTAAACAGTTTTTCTTCTCTGAGTTTGTTTTCTGTATTAGTGAAGGCATATTTATCATGATGTTCCCCTTAAATCTGATTAGTTTAATTCTTCATTTCTGCATCTAACAGTGAAAACCTACTGTGCCAGGCAAATGCAAATTCCTTTACAAAATACTCTCACTTCCCAAAGAAGAACTCAAGGATAAAGCCCACACTGCTTTCCTTCCAGATTTGACAACCGAAGCTGTGAGTGTAGCTATTGCAGCACCTCCGTCGGAAGGAGAGGCTAACGCTGAGCTCTGTCGGTATCTCTCCAAGGTCTTAGAACTCAGGAAGAGTGATGTGGTTTTAGATAAGGTAGGTATCTCTTTCTCTCTTTTATATCTTCTTTTAAAATCCTCACCTGAGGGTATGTTTTATTGTAGATTTTTTGAGAGAGAGAGGAAGGGGGAGAGAGAAAGAGAGAGAGAGAGAGAGAAACATGGATTGGTTGCCTCGCATACGGCATCCTGACCAAGAATTGAAACCGCAATCTAGTATGTACCCTGATCAGGAATAGAACCCACAACCTTTTGGTTTACAGGGTGACGCTCCAACCAATTGAGCCACCTGGCCAGGGCTAAATATCTTTGATTATTACACTTCAGTTATTTAAAAAATACTGATTTTTTTTCTTTTCCAAGTAATTGAAAAACTAGTTGTTTTTCATTGTCATATTCATTTAACCCCTAAAATCTAAAATCTGGATTCTTCCTATCTCATCTCCTTCATTTCTGCTGCATCAATCCTCATTAAGACTGTCCGTGCACACCACTTACAGTCCTCAGTGGCCACCATTTCCAGCATTTTCTCCTGTACCTTTTCCGTCAAATTAATTTTGCTCCTCTCTTCCTTCGAGTCACCGTAATAAACAATCTAAAATGGTTCGTGTTGTTGACCATCTCCATTAGTGAGTCCGTCAAGTGTTTCTGGTCCTGCACGTCACCCGTGCTCATGGGGGGAAGCTCCTATGAAGTCATTCATACCACAGGTGTGCACTACGGGTGGACATCACGACGACCTGGGAATGATTTCTAAAACTCAGGTTCTTGGGCACTGCCCTAGCTCAGTGATGGCGAACCTTTTGAGCTCGGCGTGTCAGCATTTTGAAAAACCCTAACTTAACTCTGGTGCCGTGTCACATGTAGAAATTTTTTGATATTTGCAACCATAGTAAAACAAAGACTTATATTTTTGATATTTATTTTATATATTTAAATGCCATTTAACAAAGAAAAATCAACCAAAAAAAATGAGTTCACGTGTCACCTCTGACACTGCCCTAGAATTACCGAAATAGAATCTGCAGTAGTGAGACCCGACCCTGTCGTCTATATCTCTTAAAGCTCAACTTGTTTTCCAGTGCTACACTCTGTAGCTCCCATCCAGGTTCCAGCTGGCATGCAGTCATTGATTAATAGGCTGCACCTGAAAATCCATTGCACACCAGGTCCCTCATTGTCCACAATAGTTGGCAGGTCATTTCTGGTTTTCTGCCAGTGTGCATGCTCTGCTATTTGCTTGTAAGGCACTCCCCACTCTTCTACCTGAGAACTTCTACCCAACTAGATAAATCCCTGCCTCGATTTACCTTTTTTAAAGGATGTGTTTCAAAACAAATGGTTTTCAATAGTTGCCTTAAGTGGTTATGGAATCACAGCACTTAATATGTGAATTTTTTTTTTTTAATTTTCAGAAATGTGTAACAGCATAGAGAGTAACAATTTGTTGTGTATTTTGGAATTATTTTTTATTATTTTTTTCTTTATTGATTAAGGTATTACATATGTGTCCTTATCTCCCCCAATCGCCCCCCCCCCCCATCCCCCCGACTCATGCCCTCACCCCCCCGGTGTCTGTGTCTATTGGTTAGGCCTATATGCATGTATACAAGTCCTTTGGTTGATCTTGGAATTATTTTTATACAAAGTTCATATGAAATTGCAATATTTGTTTTGATAATTTAAAAAATAATTTTCACTCTTTTTTAAAAAAATAGATTTTATTGATTTTTTTACAGAGAGGAAGGGAGAGGGATAGAGAGTTAGAAACATCGATGAGAAAGAAATATCGATCAATTGCCTCCTGCATACCTCCTACTGGGGATGTGCCCACAACCAAGGTACATGCCCTTGACTGGAATCAAACCTGGGATCCTGCAGTCCACAGGCCGATGCTCTATCCACTGAGCCAAACTAGTTAGGGCTGATTTTCACTTTTAATTTAAACAAAAGAATTACTGGAAACCAGAATATTATACATCTGGATTCCATATTCATTAAAGAATTTTAGTGCCCAGCTTTTATTATTACAAAAATTGATATATGAAGATAAAAACCCTGGAGAGTTATAAAATTTATAGTAAGGTGGAATCTAAGAGATAGTCTTTGGTTAGATCACAATGGCCAGGAGAAAATGGCAGTGAAGCCATCAGGAAAGTTGCAGGTCACCTGTAAGAACCCCACAATGATGTGTCTGCAATGCATACAACTGAGGTCTCTTTCTAATAGTGTTAGAAAGTTTAGTATGTTATCCTCACACTGTCTTTTCCTTTTAATCCAGGGCAGTAAATCTCGTGAAAAAGTGGTGAAGCTTTTGGCCTCCACAACTCCAGAGGAGGTCTTGGAGAAATTGGAAAAGCAAGTTGAAAAAAAATAAAAGTAAGAAAGAAAATAATACGTCCTTGAGAAACTTTTTTTATTGCTAATGATAAAGAGGCTGTTAAATAGGAAAATGCAGTTAAATGCACAGAAGAACATGTAAAATAAATGTATTTAAATAAGAACAGGTCTCCAAAAAGAAGTAGAAATTTTAAAGGTACTGCACATTGAATATAGGTTCTAAGATCCCTGACCCCAGATGGCTTGGAACATGTTGCTCTGATTTCATGGCATTTCAGAATAACAGAACTGGGTAGGCTATTCAGGATGGCCTGATTTCATTTTGTGATGGTGCTTCTGATATCCCGGAGTTGAGAGATAGGATCACACTGTGCAGAATGACAACTAGAACCCAGATCCCTTGACTCCCACTTGAATACACTCTACCCTGATTGTAAATTAAAATGATAATATTTCTGCAACACTTCTGGAATTCTAGGGATTGCTTTCTAACCCAGTTTACAAGTGACAGGAAAGCTTGCCAATATATTTTGTACTCTATATCTTAAAACGCTTATCTTTATGCAAAAATGTTTTCTGCATCTTTTTGAAACCCTTGAGCATTTTATGAAAAAGTAAGAAAGAGTAACCAAGACTTGTACAGGCATACCTCGTTTTATTGCACTTCACAGATACAGGGTTTTTTACAAATTGCAGGCTTATGGCCACTCTTGTGTTGAGCAAGTCTGTCCGTACCATTCTTCCAACAGCATTTGCTCACTTTGTGTCTTTGTGACACATTTTGGCAATTCTCTCAATATTTCAAACTTTTTCATTATTATTATATTTGTTATGGTGATCTGTGAACAGTGATCTTTGATAATACTATTGTAATTGTTTTGTGGCACCACAAACCACACTCATATAAGATGGTGAACTTGATAAATGTATGTGTTCTGACTACCCACCAGCTGTTCCCCTCTCTCTCTCCCTTTCCTCAGGCCTCCCTATTCCGAGATACAACAATAGTGAATTTAGGCCAATTTATAACCCTACAATGGCCTTTAGGTGTTCAAGTGAAAGGAAGAGTCGGACGTCTCTCACTTTAAATCAAAAGCTAGAAATGATTAAACTTAGTGAGGAAGGCATGTCAAAAGCTGAGATAGGCCGAAAGCTAGGCCTCTTGCGACAAACAGTTAGCCAAGTTGTGAATGCAAAGGAAAAGTTCTTGAAGGAAATGAAAAGTGCTACTCCAATGAACACACGAGTGATAAGAAAGCAAAACAGCCTGATTGCTGATATGGAGAAAGTGTTAGTGGTCTGGATAAAAGATCAAACCAGCCACAACATTCCCTTAAGCCAGAGTCTAATCCAGGCCAAGGCCTTAATGCTTTTCAATTCTATAAAGGCCGAGAGAGGTGAGGAAGCTGCAGAAGAAAAGTTTGAGGCCAGCAGAGGTTGGTTCATGCGGTTTAAGGAAAGATGCCGACTCTGTGACATAAAAGTGCAAGGTGAAGCCGCAGGTGCCGACGTGGAAGCTGCAGCAAGTGACCCAGAAGATCTGGCCAAAATAATTAATGAAGGTGGCTACACCACACAACAGATTTTCAATGTAGAGGAAACAGCCTTATATTGGAAGAAGATGCCATCTAGGACTTTCATAGCCAGAGAGGAGAGGGCAATGCCTGGCTTCAAAGCTTCCAAGGACAGGCTGACCCTCTTGTTAGGGGCTAATGCAGCTGGTGACTTTAAGTTGAAGCCAATGCTCGTGTATTATTCTGAAAATCCTACCGCCCTTAAGAATTATGCTAAAGCTACTCTGCCTGTGCTCTATAAATGGAACAACAAAGCCTGGATGACAGCACATTTGTTTACATCATGGTTTACTGAATATTTTAAGCCCGCTGTCGAGACCTACTGCTCAGAAAAAAAGATTCCTTTCAAAATATTACTGCTTATTGACAATACACCTGTTCACCCAAGAGCTCTGAAGGAGTTGTACAATGAGATTAATGTTATTTTCATACCTGCTAACACAGCATCCACTCTGCAGCCCCTGGGTCAAGGAGTAATTTCAACTTTCAAGTCTTATTATTTAAGAAACATATTTTGTAAGGCTGTAGCTGCCACCGATAGTGACTCCTCTGATGGATCGGGGCAAAGTAAATTGAAAACCTTCTGGAAAGGGTTCACCATTCTAGATGCCATTAAGAACATCCGCGATTCGTGGGATGAGGTCAAAACACCAACCATAACAGGAGTTTGGAAGAAGTTGATTCCAACCCTCGCGGATGAGTTTGAGGAGTTCAAGGTTTCGTTGGAGGAAGTGACTGCAGATGTGGTGGAAATAGCAAGGGAACTGGGATTAGAAGTGGGGCCTGAAGATGTGACCGAGTGGCTGCAGTCTCACGACAGCTCTTTAACGGATGAGGAGCTGCTGCTTATGGATGAGCAGAGGAAGTGGTTTCTCGAGATGGAGTCCGCTCTTGGCGAAGATGACGTGAAGATCGTTGAAATGACCACAAGGGATTTAGAATATTACATAAACTTAGTGGATGAGGCAGCAGCAGGGTTTGAGAGGATCGACTCCAATTTTGAAAGAAGTTACACTGTGGGTGGAATGCTATCAAACAGCATCGCGTGCTACAGAAAAATCATCCACGAAAGGAAGAGTCAGTCGATGAGGCAGAGTTCATTGTCTTATTTTAAGAAATTCCCACAGCCACCCCCGCCTTCAGCCGCCGCCACCCGGGTCGGTCAGCAGCTATTAACATTGAAGCAAGACTCTCCACCAGCAAAAAGATTACGACTCCCTGAAGACTCGGATGATGGTTAGCATTTTTTAGCAATAACGTACTTTTTAATTAAGGCATGTACATGGTTTTGCCTCCATTGACAGAGCCTGAGAAAGCAAAACCTGGACTCCTGATTCTGTGGGCTTTTCCTCCTTCGCCAGCGAGGGGTTGGAGAGAGAACCCGAGTGTGTAAGTGACACCTTTGCATTCAAAATTCCAAACAGTTAAAAACTCACAACTTTGGAGGCAGTTCTTTTCTGGGCTGTGGGCTCCCCCTCTCCCCCCTTACAAATCAGGGATTGGGTTAAGTAGTTCCTTTAACTATAATGCAGAATATACATTTTGGAATCTACCATGGCTCCCACTTCAGATTTTTTTAAAAAATTGATTTCAGAAAGGAAAGGAGAGGGAGAGAGAGATAGAAGCATCAATGAGAGAGACTCATTGATCTGCTGCCTCCTGCATGTCCCCCCACTAGGGACCGAGCCCGCAACCCGGGAATGTGCTCTTGACGGGAATCAAACCTTGGACCCTTCAGTCCACAGGCCGGCACTCTATCCACTGAGCCAAACAGGCTAGGGCCAGATTATTTTTTAAAACGTGCCTAGAGACTACAAAATGTAAAATCTAGATTTTCAATTTACATCCAAGAGGTGGCACCATAATGCAAAAGCAGCCACATAATTTGAAGGAACTGAAGGGCACTATTAGGAAACCACTTCTGCAGTGCCTGATGCCAGTAATCCTTTTTATCTCATCCTCTCAGAGGTACTCCTGAGGCTTGGTCCCCTCATATTTTTGAGTTTAGCTCAGGCAGAGTGTGGTGTTAACCCAGGCCAACTGTGTGTTCAGAAGTTCAGGGTCACTGCCATAGTGGAGTCGGCATGGTCCCGACTGCCTCCCTCCACTCTGCAGCTTTCAGAAATCCCTTTTAGTTGCCATTTTTGAAAATGGAGTTGGGCCGGACAATTGACAGAAACTAATTTCTTAAACCAGATGCCAAATTTATTAACTTGATTCAAGAACACACCTGCCAATTAGACTGCATACTGGCATCCTTTAGTGGGTACATTCTGTCCCTTTGGGAAATCTCATAGGAAGCCAGTTACTTGGAGTCTACTTAGAGATCTTGGGATCAGAGCCAAGGAAATTACGGACCTGGGTCAGGGAGCTATGACCATCCCCTTTCTGCCGCAGGAATAGGCCCATTATATCCCATCAACCCTTCTCCTGGGACAATGCTGGGCCCTTATGGTTTATGGCATAGGAACTCCCTTTTTCTAGGCTCGAGGAGCCCACCTACTTCTGTTCACATAGGCTTTCTCTAGACCGTCCTTATAATTCAGTTGGTAAGATTTTTTTTCCAGCATTTTATAATCCCTACTAGAGACCTGGTGCAAGGATTTGTGCACTGATGGGGTCCCTCAGCCTGGCCTATGGGGATTGGGCCAAAACCGGTTCTCCAACATTGCCTGAGGGGTCCCGGATTGCGAGACGGCACAGGCCAGGCTGAGGGACCCCACCGGTACACGAATCCGTGCACCAGGCCTCTGACATCCCCTGATGGGTCCAGGGTGTGGGTGAAGCAGATTCAGGGCCTACAGTACCCCAGCAGCAACCTAACCCACAGCCAATTCCGTGAGGAATCAGGCGCCCTCCTCTACTGGTCGGAGCGCCTGCCCCCTGGTGGTCATTGCATGTCATAGCTACCGGGCAAACGGTCAGACGGTTGCTTAGGCTTTTATATATATAAACTAGAGGCCCGGTGCACAAATGCACCAGTGGGGTCCCTCGGCCTGGCCTGCAGGGATCAGGCTGAAACTGGCAGTCCACCATCCCCCAAGGGATGTAGTAGTGCGCGAAGTGACAGGCAGCCGGGGAGGAGCCCAAGCCTGGGGCCGGGCGCTGCGCCATTCCTGCTCATCCCGGTACTGCTGCGTCTGCCACGGCCGCCACTCAGTAGGCTTGCAGCCGCTCTGCTGCAGTCTCTGCACATCCGTCCTAGGGCGATAACGGTGCACCCATGACCGAGAAGTGACTGTGGGCTCACGTCCGGCCGGTCCCAGTCCTGGTCCGAATGGGAGAGGCTCACACCACCGCAGCTGCACTTGCCAGGTCGGTCAGCTGAGTGGCGCTCCTGCTGTAGGAGTGCACTGACCACCAGGGGGCAGCTCCTGCGTTGAGCGTCTGCCCTCAGTGCGCATCATAGCTACCGGTTGAACTGTCAGATACTTACTTAGCATATTAGGCTTCTATATATATATATACTAGAAGCCTGGTGCACGAAATTCGTGCACAGGGGCAGGGGTTCCCTCAGCCCAGCCTGCACCCTCTCCAATTGGGGACCCCTTGGGACATCCCTCTTGCAATCTGGCTCCTAACCGCTCACCTGCCAGCTTGATCGCCCCTAACTACCTCTGTCTGCCTGCCTGATTGCCCCAACCTCTCTGCCTGCCTGCCTGATCACCCCTAACTGCCCTCCTCTGCTTGCCTGATCTCGCCCCCAACTGCCCTCCCCTGCCCTCCTCCCTCCTGTCAGGGTCTGGTTTGAAGGCTGGCCACGCACCCAATTGCAGGAGACCCAGAGTTCCACTGCACCCCGGCCGGCCGGTACCCACAGCCCCCTCTCGCTGTGGGGCCCACAGACCCCTCCCACTGCGGGCGCCACAGCGACCCAGAACTCACTGCTGCCGTGGGCACTCCGAGGGTGGGATCTTCCCACTGGCCTTGCCAGAAACAGCTTTGGGAGGGCGCCTCAGGGCCGGTGGGACTGACGGAAGTGGGGGTGTGGCATGGAGGTGGTGCCTATGCTTCTGTTAACTTACACAATGTGTTTTATACCACAGCATATGGCGGCGGCTGTGAATGGCACCAAGTGGAGCCTGCAGGCCGAGCTGAAGCAGTGTCTGCAGGCCATCAGGAGCGCTCACAGCCGCCACTGCCATCTGGGGAATACAGGCTGCCCTCCACAGGGCCTCACCTCCCCTTCCTCCATCCTGGCTGCCACAAGTCCCCGCCCACCCAAGCCTGCTGCGCGCACAGCCTGGCGTTCGGTCGTCCCTCCAGTCGTTTTGGATGTTACAGACCCTGGCTTTTTATATATTAGGATAGACTAGAGGCCCGGTGCATGAAATTTGTGCCCGGGTAGGGTCTCTAGGCCTGGCTGGCAATCAGGGCTGATCAGGGCCTTTCTCCAGGTGCTGGCCGGGGCCTGCCTTAGTTCTGCGCCGCCCCATGGTGGTCAATGCACATCACAGTGAGCGATCAAACT